GGACCAAAAACCATCCTGAGGATCAGCTCTTTCTTCCCAGGGGAGGCAGCCCAGCCATGGAGGATGGGAGCTAGCTAGGGGGTGTAAGCACCCTATGGTATAGCATGTGGCCCCAGACCAGAGGACAACAGGAGGGCCTCAGAGGAAGAAGGCTTCCTCCACTTCTGACTTGGAGCTGAGCCCTGGAGTCAAACTGAGTTCCAGTTCCAGCTTCAGAGGTCATTATTATTCAGTGGCAGTCACCCCGGGTCCCAGGAACCTCAGTTTCCTTGGCTAGCAAGTGGCACCAATGGGGCCAGTTGCAGTGGTGCAGGCCTGTAATACCAGTGGCTCAGGAGGCTGAGGAAGGAGGATCGCAAGTTCAAAGCCAGCCTCAGCAAAAGCCAGGCGCTAAGCAACTCAGTGAGACCCTGTCTCCAAATAAAATACAAAACAGGGCTCTGGGTGTGGCTCAATGGCCTAGTGCCCCTGAGTTCAATCCCCAGTACCCACCCCCCAAAAAATGACACCAATGGTCCCCAGCCTGCTTGCCTATGGGCTGGGGTGAGGATGTATGGAGAGAAGATGAAGGCTTCATGAACTTCGAGGGGTGCAGGAGGACAGGCGTCCGCTGCAGTGACAATGACCATCTTGCATTCCCTCATGGCCAGGACAGCCTACTTCTGTGGATCACAGGGCAGTCAGCACACAGGTGCTGCACCCTCAGAGCCAGCAAGAGGGGGTGGGCTTTATTTCTGTCACACATGTGCATGCATGCACGCACCCCCTGCCCAGTTATTCAAAAACATACAGGGGTTGGCGGGCAGTGGCACATGCCTGTAATCCCAATGACTTGGGATGCTGAAGCAGGAGGACTGTGAGTTCAAAGCCAGCCTCAGCAACTTAGGCAATAAGCAACTCAGCAAGACCCTGTCTCTAAATAAAATATTAAAAAGGGCTGAGGATGTGGCTCAGTGGTTAAGTGCCCCTGGGTTCAATCCCCAGTACTAAATAAGTAGATAAATTAAAACACACAGAGTTCAATGATCTGTGCTGGCAGATCACCACCTTAAGCATTCGTTCCCATGACTTTCAGGGAAATACAATTCTGTTCCTCTTGGCTAACATCCTTGACACAAAAGACATCCCAGCAATCCAAGATTTGGGGGCTTTGAAACACTGCTTCCAAATGCACACAGGAGCTGACAAGCAGAAGTTTCTCTGTGAGAGAAACAGTCCTCTTTGCACAAGTGTCATTGATTTTTTAAAAATGACAGGTTTAACAACAAATATCATTTTCCAGTGGCACTGAGTACCCATTTTTTCCTTCTCTCCTTCCAATTCCTGGTTCTGAATGTACCTGATACTTAGTATCTCTTACACAAATGTGGAATTGATATTTGGTATGAGCAGTTGAGAAACATTTTGCAATATTAAATAATTTGTTTTGCTCTCTGATTTGTGTATGTGGGTCTACATTAGAAATAAACCAATGATGTGCTGCGGGGTATCTCAGTGGTGGAGAACCTGCCTAGCCCCTGTGAGGCTCTGGGTCCATCTCAGCACTGCAAAATAAAAACAGGAAGGAAGGAAGAAAGAAAGAAAGAAACACAATGAAGTATAATTCCCATTGCTTCTATTGGCAACTAGATGCATATAGAATGCTAGATACAGAGTGTTTCATAAAAGCATTTGATAACAATTTTCTTGAATATTCAAAAAATAAAATCGAAAGACATCAGGATTGTTTAAATAATTTTGATTTGAGGATTTGATATTCATTAATTATGATCATATTTTATCTTCCCATGGTCCCTGTTACTTACAAATATTTTCAAGACCAAACACTTTGGGGGAACATATTTTTAAAATGTTTTTAATTCTTATATTTACCATAATCTAGACATGTTGATGAAAGTATATTCAAATTCCGCATACTTGAGTATAATTACATTCTGTTTTTATTCCTTTAGAGAAGAGTTGGCAAACTTTTTCTTAATGAGCCAGATAATAAATACTTTAGGCTTGCAGACAATGTGGTCTCTGTCACAACTACTCAACTTTGCTGTTTCAGCATAAATACAGCTATAAATAAATGTAATGGATATGTATATTATGGTTTGAGTATGAGGTACCCCCCTAAAGCCCAGGTGACCACCTCCAGGGGTCACATGCCATGGTTGACCTCTGCCCTCTAGAATCTTCAACCTTGAAATCAGCCTCCTGTCTCGACCCCACTCTAACTTCCATCTCTGGCCTTCAAGGAAGATTGTAGCCCTTTCCAAAGATGCAGGGTCTCCCCTCACCCATGTACTTCTGGTTCCGGGGGTGGCCTCTTAGGGACAGAATAAAAAGAGGGTTCATAATAACCTCAATTCAGAAAAAAAAATTATAAGGGATTTCTGGCATTTCCGTGTGGGCCACCAGGACTCCTTATCCCCCAGCCAAGCACCTCTGGGAAGGAGCCTCACCTGGGTCAATCCCACCTGCCCCGAAGCCAGCTGGTCTGGAAGATGCGCTGACACAGAATCGACAGCATGCTGACGGAGTGTGGGGCAGAGAAGGCTGCAAAGGTAACGCCCGGGTTTTGTGGGGGACAGTTGGGTTATGGCAGTGTGGTTGAGTGGCATGGATAAAACGGGAGCAAGAGCAGGTTTGAGGTAAATGTTGCTATTGTGTCCACTTTGCCAAAGTGGGAACTAATGATTAAAGGACTTAAGTGACTTGACTTAGGTCACATAGCTAATAAGTGACAGAACAGGATCTGAGCCCAGGTCTGCCTGATTCCAGAGTCCGAGCTCCTGCCACCCACCTGTTTCCTGCTCTTTTGCTTCCACGTTCTGCCTCATCCAGACCTGCACTGCCACGGGGGGGCCGTGAGGGGCACCTCCAGGGTGCATGGAAGGTTCCATGTGTCTTTCTCCTTTATTCTCTCACCGTCCCTGTGAGCAGGTTCTACTATCCCTGTGTCAGTCAGATTTCCATCGTCATTACACATACCTGAGGTACTCAATTTATAAAGAGAAAAGGCCTCTTTGGGTTCTCAGGTTTAGAGTTTCCAGTGCACTGTCCATTGGCTCCATTGCTGGGGGCTGCAGTGAGGCAGTGCATCATGGCGGGAGAACATGGTAGACCAAAAGCACTCACCTCGGGACCAGGGAGTAAAAGCACTGAGAGAGGCAGAGACCAGGCGCCACTACCTCCTTCAAGAGTGCACCCTCACTGACCTAAGACCTCCTACTGGGCTGTCTCTTAAAATTCCTACCACCTTCCACTAGCACCAAGATGGCGACTGAGCCTTGGGCACGTGACCTTTAGGCACATTCCAGATCCATCTGTAGCAATCCCCAATATCACTAATGGGGATGGTGAGGCTCAGACAAGCTGACGAGCTAGTGAGAACTTCCGGGGAACTAATGACAGCATCAGATGATTAAGAAGTGTTTATAGAAGTCCTTTGAGAAGTTAGCCTAGCACAGTGCAAAAATCTGCCCTCTCCCAGCCTAATGGATGGGGCGCCCAAGAGGTCATTGGATTTTGTCCTCATCCATAGGACCCTGCCGGTTCCTCCTTGTACCGAGCAGAGTGAGGGGCTATCGGGGAGCTGTCCAGCACCCTAGGAGGTCGTGGGCATAGTCATGGAACCATCTTCTTCTCTGGAATTCTCTGAGGAAGCCTCACGGGTGGAATTTCAGTGGCTGAGGGTGGAGGCAGGATGTGGGCAGCTCCTATGTCACCCCAGCTCCGTGACAGTCTGAGTGAGGCATAGAAGAAGACCCTGGATCCCATATTCCACTGTAGGAGTGCCCAGGTCAAAGAGGGGAGGGCACATGGTGTCTGGGTGAAGGTCATCCCTCCCGGGAGGGGGCTGGCACAAGAACAGGATGTGACTCTCCCTCTTGGGATCTGTGGTGAAGAGTCACAGTCCACAGGACAACACCCTGTCAGATTGCAGTGGGAAGGCCTCTAGTGACCAGCATGAAGCCAGGGTCTCATGATGCACTTCTCCCTCCTGCCCCCATTGATAGGGTCGCCAGGTCCAGGAATCAGGGTGGAGAGGAGGGGCTTAGAGGAAGCCACTCCAAATGCTCCCAGTGATATGGCCACATCCAAGTGGGGGAGTGAAATAAGAGGTGTGAGTTGGGGACAGAGGTCTAAGCCCATCAGATCTTCTCATTACCAAAAGTCTCTTGCTCTGCTTGCCATGTTGAGGGTGTAACAAGAACCTGCTTGTACTCAGAAGTGGGTTCATGGATCAACCTCTCTAAATGGACCCTCCTGGGGGCCCAGTTGCTCAGCTAACTGGAATGCACGTGCTGGTAGCAGGCTGCTCCCCGTGGCGCACCGCGGGAGGGAAAGCCACAGGGAATGAGTGTTGGGGTCACAGCTCCCTGCGTTGGCTTGGACTGTAGGGATGCCAGGCCCTTGAGCCCGTGCAGAGAGGACAAGAGAGATGCTGACTCATAGTTCAATGACAGCACCCCCACCCCTGGTGGCAGCAACCAGATGGCAAAGCCCTGTCCTGTGCCACTCAGCCCTCTCTTGCTTGCCCATCAGAGACAAGCACATCAGGCCTGCAGAGCCTGCGGTTTGCAGCCCAGTGGGAGGATGATTTCAGTCAAGGTCATTGCCCTCTTTATGGGCTATCGGTCCAGCAGAGATGGGCTCCAAAACCAGAATCCCTTATCCAGGAAGCAAGGGAATAACCAGAGATGGGTTGGTTGGGAGGACCCTGCAGGCTCCCTTTTGGCATCTGCCCAGGCCCCGTGGCTGGCTGCACCTGATCGTCAGGCCCCAGTAGTCAGCAACAGCACTTTGACCATGGCCACCTGGGTCAATGCTTAGGGATGGAAACAAAGCATCGCATGTGTAAGCACAAGGCTGGGCTCGGGGCTGGGTGACCTGGTCCTTACCTGCCTCTCACTTCCTGCCAGTAAGCTTCACCTGGGGCAGGGATGCGAGAGGCTACAGGCAGCTCACGGGGTGCAAGCTTTCCCCCCAGCTCTGCCCCTGTCCCTGAAGGACCCCCATCAGGGAGAAAGGATCCAAGGATCCAGGCTCAGATTGGACATGGGACAGCAGAGGACAAGCCAGAGAGATCCTGGAGTCATCTCAGAAGGCTTTGGGCAAAGGCAGTGAGTCCTAAAGAACGGGAAGGTTAGGGACAAACCTAGAGTAGGTAGCACTTGCAGGCGTGAGTGGGGAGGAGCTGGGGCTTGGCAGAACTTGGCTGAGAGTGGCTGACTTGTTGGACAAAACTGCACACAGCCTCCTGCGTGAAGACCCTGCTGCAGCTGAGCGTCAGACCACGAGGGGACAGCAGGATTGTGCCCTCGGGGATCTCTGTCCAGGTAGGCACAGGCAGAGCAACCTGGGCCACGGGAGGGTCTGAACCAGGAGTTGTGCGGAGTTGGGGTGGGCAGGTGGCTTCATGATGGACTGTCTAGAAGATCCAAAAAGGACCCCCACCTGCAGGTATGGAAGGTGGGTGACACCCCACGCATGCCTTTGGCCTTAATTTACCCTTTCCATTCCAGCCATGATGGCTGTCTTCCCAGTCCCCAACTTCATTACTCAGGGCCTTGACCAGGGCCATCTGTGCCCTGAAACTACAGTGTCTGTGCCCGTGACTGCTCCCCACTTAGGCTCTGTTCACTGAGGTTAAGCTCACATCCACTCTGTGAGGAGGCCTTATCTTCTTCATCTTACAGGGAGCACATCAAAGCACAGAGAGGTTAAGGGAGTATCCCAAGGTCACACAACGACTTCCTCTATGGCAGAACTCTGTCTTACAATGATTTACATTTGTGAATCAGCCCAGGAGGGTGTCCAGGTAGAAGCTGGGTCCTCTCTCCCAGGTTTTATGGTGACTTTCTGGGCCGGAGTCCAGAGACTGTTTATCCAGCAAAGAACTAAAACGACTCCCCACAGAAACAAACTGCCATCCCGGATCCCCCACGGCCACACCCTCTGGCCACATGACATGGCCTCTTGTGTCCCTGGCTGCTACCCCTCTTCCTGGACAGAAGGGGAGGTCACAGCTGAGCATTGCCAGTAGCAGCAATAAAACAAACAGTGCCAACGTCCCCACACCCCTGTTTCCTGGAACTAGGTGCCCTTCTGGCCATCAGGGGTGAAGGAATTCTCCCTAGAGGGGCAAGGGAGAGGTCAGAGATGTAGACAACTCCGAGTGCCAGTGGAAACCTAGACCAGCCCTCAGATCCCCTGCTTGGAACTCCCCCAGATGGCACCATCCCTGGTCCATGCCCAGCAGTGGCTCATCCTCAGGACAGGACAGTGCTTTCCACAGTCCCAGGCCTGATTCTCACAATGGTGCCTTCCCAGGCTCTGGGCTTCACAAGATTCTTGCAGTTAGACACACACCCAGGCCCATCTGATCTTATTCCTGTTTTAACAGGCAGGGAAGCTGGCTTGGCTTCCTCCTATTGCCTTACAAATCGGCATCTGCAACTCAGGGGTTGAAGCCGGCAGTTGGTCCCGCAGTCTCTCTGCAGACACACAGGCACCCGCAGGTTCCCTGACAGCGATGCTCAACAGGCACAGAGGTGGCCCTGGGCTTGAGACCTCTGTTTCTCATCGAGTTCCCATGGTTCCTACAGAGCCCTGCACAGCAAGATCAGGGTGATGACCTTCAGCAGAATGGTTTGCTGTTGGTTGAGGACGGCTTCCCTGGAAGCCCCTGCCTTGGGAGATTGTAGAAAGTAAGGGGGGTGGGGACAGGGTAGTGGTTCACACCACACAGCCTTAGTGAGGTACTAAGGAACTCGGGAGACCCTGTCTCTAAATAAACATAAAAAAGAGCTGGGGATGTGGCTCGGTGGTGAAGCCCCTCTGGGTTAAGTTCGTGGCATAAAACATAAATAAATAAATAAATAAATAACAGGGGGATGCAAATTGCCAGCCTCAGCAAGGTGATCAGAGTGGCAACCAGCTAGAATTAGTTCCTGCCGATGACTGATTTTCAAACTGTAACATGCACACGAATCACTTAGAGATCCTGCTAAACAGTTGATATTGATTCAATCGATCTAAGTGGACCCAAGACGGTACATTTCCAATAGGCTCCAGGAGGAGTCCATACTGTCGGTCCTTAGAACATACTCTGAGTAGCAAGAGCTTAACAAGATGGTTTATTTCTTCCTTATGTTCTTGAAACCCAGGAGTCGGCATCCCAGGGCTATATAGTGGTGCTTCACAGTGTCAGGGATCAGTGCTCTTCGACCTTGTCACCACTCCATGTGACTTTTATTCCCAAGGAGATTCCTCCGTGGTGTCAGATGGAGCTCCAGCCATTCCTTTTGCATCTTTAGGCTTTCCCTTTCTCCCAGAGCAAGAACTGATAGAAGAGTCCGCCCCGCCCTTCCTTCCCAAGAACCCATCAGAAACGGTACGCGTACACTCCTGCCCCTGGACAGGACCCAGCCAGCGCCCTCCCGCCGTCTGTATGTAAAGGAGGTTGGGAAAGAGTCTTTTTTTGGCCAGGCAACCAGGGGCCCAGCTAAAAATCAAGAACTCCACTTCTGAGGAACTAGTTGAAAAACAGCAGGAGGCAATTCAGAACCTCTGACACAGCAGGCTGGAATGGAATCAGTCTCCCAGAGCCAAATGTGAAAATGAACCACAATTCTGACCCCCAGGGTTCTGCCTGCGACCCACCAGTCCACCTCGAGGTGCATTGTAATGAAGAAGGGCCACCTGCTCACTCCTGGAGGCAGTGGGGGTGGGTCTGACCTCGGCCACTGGCGGCAGAGGGCCTGGTTCAGATTTTGCTCGGTCACTCATTGGCTATAAAGTCGTGGACAAATTAGTTGATGTCTCTGGGCCTCGGTTTCCCTTCTGTAGAATGAGGATCTAGTAGTGTCTGTCTCTCATGGTTGTTATAGGGTGGAAAGATCAAAGCTGGCACAAGGTTCTGGTGACTAAATAAAGCCACTGGAACTCCACCAGCCCGCTTTGCACCCATGCTGTTGGTGTGCACAGAAGTTACGAAACAAGGAGGCCCGTCTTCTCGGAGCTGAGGAACCAAATGGTATCCAACTTGGAAAGAATGACCTTGGAGCTACGCATTTGAAGACCAGTCATTTATTTGGAGGTCATCTCAGTTTTCTCAGAAGCTTTTAAGATAAATTTTTTCCCCAAAAGCTTTCTTTTTTGTGATTTTTGTGTGTGTGTGCAAGAAATGAATCATAATCATACTGTGATATCTTTGCAATGTGTCACTTTGGCCCTGTTGAATTCTGTGCCCCAGCAGTCCTTTCCTGGCATGTTTCTAGCAGCAGCTGGTCACGTGTGTGCTTTAGACAAAGGACCCCAGCTTCTGCCACATGCCCTTGTCACCAAGGCCAGAGAAAGATAAGGGCTTCAGTCCATCCTTGTGGGTCCCCAGCTGGCCCTACAATTGTTGTGGACTTGAAGCTCCAGAAACAGATATAGAGACATGTAGCCCCAGGGCGGGTGCGAGCCAGGCCTCTGTGATAAATCAATCTGTCTGTCTGTCTGTCTAACCATCTACCAATCATTCTCTTCCATTCATCTATCTGTTCATCCATCTATCTCCTATCTGTTGATTTATGTCCTCCATCTATTCACCTACTCACCTACTATTTTCTATCAATTGATTTATTCTATTTATTCATCTATTGATCTATCAATCTACCTATTCACCTATTTTCTATCTACCTATTTTTTCTATCCTCCATCTACTCATCTACCTTCTATTTATCTTTCTTTCTTTTTCTTTAATCTATCCATCCATCTGCTCCAGGGTTGCAGCCCTGGCTTATACACATATTATTAGAAATATAGAGAAACTCTGGGGTACCTTACCCCCTATTTCACAGATGGGGGAACTGAGGCAGAAAGGTAAATTGCTTTACTCAAGGTGACATCGCGAGCTAGTGACTATGGAGGAGGCAGAGCCCAGGCCCCCGATTCCCAGTCCAGTGCTCTCCCCAGGGCCTGTCCCCACCGCTGCTCCTCCATGCCCACTCCTGCTGCACTCGAAGACCCCCCTGCATTTCCATCAGGCTCAGGGTGGGTACATAGGACCAAGCTTCACGTGCGTCCTGCCCTCAAGCTGCCCACAGTCTGTCAGGGAGACTGGTACATCTCTAGACTGTTTGAATATGGAATGATCCGGGGCCAGGTGGGAGAACAGCAGCACAGGAGCCTGTGAGTCCCCTTGTGCATGTCACAGGTGGCCAGGAGATGCCTGGCTGTGATCTGCTCTGAGAAAATCCCTAAGGAGCTTTTCTCCAATAGCCATAGAAGGAATCATGGGAGCACTCCCTGCCGTGCTCCCATGTGGCACAGACCTGCATGTGGGCACTGCTCCCCCTTGAGCCCCCTGCCCGTCCCCAGGTCCTGTGGCCCCTCCTACTGCAGGGCCTGGAATCTCATGTCCTCTCCTGTGTGCAGCTGCTCCAGGGGCCCCACACATTCCTTCCTGTGTGCTCTCCTGCAGGGACCCAGCACCTGAACCTCCCTGGGGGAGGGCGTCATGTTTGTGGGACGGCCGGACTTGCCTGGTGTCCCCCCCATTGCCAGCTAGCAGCCCTCCCCCAGGCTCAGTGCTGGACACAGACAGGCACCAAGGCCCAGGTCCTGCTGCCCCCGAGCCTGGCCTGAAGCTACACACACCCCCTGACCAACATTTCCAAATCCTGAAGTCCTGGCCTGAGGACCCCAGGAAACACTCACATACCCCCGCCCCGCAGACTGCTGCACCCTCCTGTGCACTGATGTGGGGAAGGAGCAGGGCAGGAGGGGATGGCCCTGGGGAGGTTCCGGACCCAAGGCACTTGCCCCTGTTTACTCACCACTGAGTCAGAAACTCTCCGAACTTACTGGAAAGCTCCTGGCACTTTGTTTTCCTGAAACGAAACAAAAACAGGTTGGACTTCTCTGGTGTTTACCTGCAGGCTCAATTACCTAATTCTGAGCTGGGCTGCCTGGCAGGCTGGCAAAGGTGAACATGGGGCAAAGGCAACCACTTCTCTCATGCGCCCAACCCAAAGCAGAAGCCTCTGGAGGAGGAGACTGAGTCAGGGCTGGGGAGACTCGTGGCTGTGGAAGAAGACGGAGCAGGTAGGAGTGCTGTTTGACTCTGAGCAGCTTACTTAACCTTTCTGAACCTGTGTCTTCATCTGCTTGCCTTGCCGGATTGTTGGAGGATTCATAATGACACCCTAACACCCAGCATTCAAGCAAAGGTGGCTGTTGTTAGGAGTAAAGATCTCTTTTGGCCAGACTGTAGGGGACCCAGAGGTTCTGTAGCCCCTCAATCTCCTTTACAAATCAATTCTATCCAAATGTGTCACCTCACTTCCCACCCAAAGTGTTCCTCCCAGGCTTGCTGTTCCCAAACACACAGAGGTGTTCTTCCAGAGGCAGATGATATGAAGTTGCCACATATGTTGTGGACACACCCCTAGCTGCTGGGAGGAAGTTCTTCCCAACCAGAGCTACCATGTTGTGACTCAGTTTCCCTCTTCTCTCCTCTTCTAGAACTCCGGAGGAGCTGTGGGCATATCCTGTATCATGATGGCCTCTGGTAGCTCTTTTCTTCAATCTCCCATGACCATCCAAATATTTCTGCTTCTCCCTGGTGCCTTGGGCTGGAAAGAAAACAGGCCCAGGTACACGGAAACTCCTGGTGGGATTCGGGGCTATGCAGCTAGCTCAGAACATGTTTAAGTGCATTTCTAGATGAAAGTCTTTTAAATTCTCAAAAGGAAGCCACTCATACCAGTCTGAGAAATTCTGGCTTGGAGCCACCAGGATGTGGCACAGTCTCCACCAACCCTTATCCCAAGGTAGGTCCTTGTATTTCCAACTTTCATGGCTTGCAAGAGGGATGGTGAGCATATGGCCAGAGCCCATCATGGTCACCAGAGGGAGATCACACACAGTTGCCCACACCTTCCTCCTCCCTCTCTCCGGGTCCTTGGTAATGACATGGCAGCTCCTCCCCTGACCTTGCACCCAGGCTGATCTGAGGCTTGCTTTAACCAGAGAATCCGGTGGAGGTGACGTTGCTGGGTCTGTCCCAGCCAGGACCCCATGGCCAGTGCTTCACTGGGTTCTTCCCTTCCAGCCCAGTGCCCTTGACGTGGATAAAGTAAATCAGAAACAGAGCTCCTCCCCGCCATGAGAAGAAAGCATCTTGGTAGTATTTCTAGTGGAAAGAGGGTGCAGAGGGGGTGGAGAGATGCAGGACATTTTTAGATCTCTGTCCTGAGTGGAGGGAAAGGAGGATGCACAAGTCCCTGAGACTCCTTCATTGGAAAAGGACTGCAGCAAGCAGGGAGGCTGAGATCACCTGGACAGGGAGGGGTGCCTCGCCCCCTCCATCATGACTGGGTAGGATCGGAAACCATGCTCCCTCCCCTCTGCTCAGGAGCTCTGCTCATGGGAAAGCAGCCACCACCAAGCTATGCTACTCTGTAGCCCAGAGATGCTATGTCCCTTTCTCAAGCCACAGAGCCATTGGAAGACGGGCTGGGACTTCCTGCTGAGCTGGCCCTTAGCCTCAGGGCATCAGGGAATAAATACAGGGCCTGCAGCCTTTCTCTGCCTCCAGCTCCTCCTGGCAAATCCCAGGACAGCTTCATCTGGAGGTTTTTCAGAGTCAGGCCGGGTTCATTTCTGTCCTGCTGGCCCTCGGCGCTGTACCCGACATAGGGGGTGAGAGGACAGGACCACTCAAAGAATGAACTTTTCTGACATTTTATTACCAGGTGCAAGTTCAAAGTCCCAGGGCACAGCACATATGCTTCTTGTGAGGAGTATTTAAACATGTACATAAATGATTATATGTGTACGCTTGTGAATGTCCATATCTGTGTACATGGGTGTGTGTATGTGTGCAGTGTGGGTCCTTTATCTACAGGATTGTGAACTCCTTGATGATGTGGAATGGAAGATGAATGGATGGTGGATAGATAGATAGATGATAGATAGATAGATAATAGATAGATAGATGATAGATAGATAGATAGATAGATAGATAGATAGATAGATAGATAGATGATAGATAGATAGATAGGATGAATGGATGGAATGGACAGACTGTGGGTGGATGGAAAGATGGATGAACCAACAGGCAGATGTGGAGGTGGGTGGATGGATGGATGGACAGACAGACCCATCATCTCTGACCCTCAGATGGTGGTTTGTTCATAGCAGGCCCAGCTAATATGGAAAGAAGGCAGAGTTCCCATTAGTCTTTGTCCCTAGAGGAACACAGAGGAACTGGAAGAAGGTAGCAGAGAACTCTCAGGGCTTGAAACCAGTGGTCTTGACCACGCATTTCTCTGATCTTCAGTTTTCTTCGCTGTAAGGAAAGAATGTCAAGCATGGGGTCTGCTCCCAGGGGTAAATGGGGAATTAAGCCCAAAGGATCATGCTCAGAGGTTCACAGAGTGGACAGGCCCAGGGACGGGGTCTAGACAGGGACCAGGTCCAATCCTGGCTGTGCCACTTATGTGCTGGCAGACCCTGAGGAAGTTGCTCCTTGTTAGAGCTGGGGCTCTGTGTGGAGAAGCACCAGGTGCTCTAGCCATAGTCACCATACCGTTGTCCCTGCAGAAGGCCTGGCCCCACCCCTCCCGCTGCACAGGCAGAGAGCTGTGCATGGAACCAGGGCAGGGCCACAGAGAGGGCTGAAGGTGACAAAGGCTCCCATAGGGCCACACAGGGAATGGGGGAGGCCAGGGGAGGCCAAGGAGGCCTCCCTGGAGGAAGAGAAGAGCAATTGTAGGGAAACTCGTCCTGCCCAGCTGACCTCCCGAAAAGGGGACATAGTGACACGGCGAGAAAAGAGAAATGGTTTTAAAACTACCAAAGAGTTGCCACATCTTGGGGAGATGTTCATATTGGCTAACCCATAGACGGGGTCCCTGGAGAAGGGGAGAGAGCCCAGATGCTGAACACAGGTGTCAACACAGTGTCCGGGCCATGGCTTCACGTGGACCTGGAGTGGGACCAGGTCCCATGTGACAGCTGATCTGGGGGGCTCTGCATCCTGGGCAGGGAGAGCCTGGGGCCGCTGGGGGTCCTGGGTTCTTCCAGGCCTAGCTGGGCCTCTTGTTCTTGTTGGAGCTTCAGATAATCGGGTCCCTTTTTCCAG